CCCCAGTGCCCCCCATCACCCCCAGTTCCCCAGCAGCACCCGCGGTTGGTGGGAGGTGCCACCTGGCCTTTAATGAGTTGGTGGGGGGCGTCCCCGGGGGGGTGTCCCGGGGGCGTCCCCGGCGTCACTGCTGGATGTTGGCCAGCCCCTCCCGCATCTTCTTGGCCATGGCGGGCACGAGGCGCAGGTGCTGGTCCCCGCAGGTGGCCAGGCAGGCGTCCAGCTGGCCCCGCACGCGCGGCTCCGAGCCCCCCGAGTCCAGAGCGTCCTTGGCCTGGTCCGAGCACTGCAGCGAGCAGCGGCTCAGCCGGTCCTGGGGACGGCACGGTCACTGGGGACACTGGGGGGGCTGGGGGGAGTGGGGACAAGAGGGAAAGGCATATGGGGGGACACTGCGGGGACAGCAGGGAGTGGGGATGGCACGGGCACTGGGAGGACACTGGGGGGACTTTGGGGACTGCGGGGCAGCAGCTCAGCCAGTCCTGGGGACAATGCCATCAGCAGGGACTGGGAGGGACTGGGGGACTGAGGGGGCAGCACGGGACAGGGGGGTCTGTCAGGGGACGGACGGGGTGGGCAGCACAAGGGGTGGGTGTAGGGGGCGCAGGGTGCGTTTAGGGGGCACAGGGAGTGCACTGGGGGGTGCAGGGACTGGGGGCTCACATCCTGCCCAGGGTCCCGGCGCTGTCCCCGGGGGTCCCGGGGCCCTGCTCACCTGGAAGTGCTCGAGCTCGGCGGTGACGATGGCCTGGGCGCGGGCCAGGGGCGCGTGGCAGCGCTCGATGCAGCGCTGCACCTCCTGCATGGAGGCCGCTGCGTCCTCGCAGCACCGCGCGCTGCAGCGGAACATGGCGCCCTGGGGACACGGGGACAAAGGGGTTAACGGGGGACAACGGGGACACGGGGTTAATGGGGGACACGGGGACAAAGGGGTTAACGAGGGACAACGGGGGACACGGGGTGCCCTGGGGACATGGGGTGCCCTGGGGACACGGGAGACAAGGGGTTAATGGGGGGCAACGGGGGACACAGGGGTCACAGGGTACCCTGGGGACACAGGGACGGGGGTTCAAGGGGGCACCTGGGGACACAGGGGTTAATGGAGCGTGTTGGGGGGCACAGGAGATGAACTGGGGGGGCCCGGGATGCATAGATCGGAAGATTTGGGGGGTCACAATGAATTTGGGGGGTCTCAGTGATTTGGGGGGTCTCAGGGTATGTGTTGGGGGGGGTCACAATGAATTTGGCGGGTCTCAGTGATTTGGGGGGGTCTCAAGGCATGTGTGGGAGGGGTCACAGTGATTTGGGGGGGACCTCAGTGATTTGGAGGGTCTCGGGGCCGGTGCCGGCGCTGCCCGGGGCACCCACGTGTGTGTGTGGGGGCGGCCCGGACCTGTCCCCGCGTGTCCCCCCGGTGTCCCCCCGGTGTCCCCCCGGTGTCCCCCCGTGTCCCGCGGTGTCCCCGGTACCTGCATGGCGCGGATCTGCTCCCGCTCCAGCCCCTGCACCGCGCTCTCCACCGCGGCCTGCACCCGGCCCTGCGCCGCCTCCGCCATGGGCCCGCTCCCAGCCCTGAACCGCCCTGAACCGCCCTAAAGGGGCCCTAAACCCGCCCTAAAGGGGCCCTGAACCCGCCCTGAACCCGCCCTAAACCCGCCCTGAACCGCCCTAAAGGGGCCCTAACCCCGCCCTGAACCCGCCTTAAACCCGCCCTGAACCGCCCTAAAGGGGCCCTAACCCCGCCCTGAACCCGCCTTAAACCCGCCCTGAACCGCCCTAAAGGGGCCCTAACCCCGCCCTGAACCCGCCTTAAAAGACCCGGCCCAAAACCCCCCGAAACCTGCGGGAATCGCCTCAAAATCCGTCCCAACCCCGCCGGGAGCCGCCCCAAACCGGGACCCTGCTTTTGGGGCGAACCCTCCTGTTGGGGTCAGGACCCTTTTTTTGGGTCAGGACCCTCCTTTTGGGGCCAGGACCCTCTGAGCAGGGCTCAGCACCGCCGTGTGGGGCCAGGACCCTTTTTAGGGGGATCAGAACCCTCCTTTTGGGATCAGAACCCTCCTTTTGGGATCAGAACCCTCCTTTTGGGATCAGAACCCTCCTTTTGGGATCAGAACCCTCCTTTTGGGATCAGAACCCTCCTTTTGGGATCAGAACCCTCCTTTTGGGATCAGAACCCTCCTTTTGGGATCAGAACCCTCCTTTTGGGATCAGAACCCTCCTTTTGGGATCAGAACCCTCCTTTTGGGATCAGAACCCTCCTTTTGGGATCAGAACCCTCCTTTTGGGATCAGAACCCTCCTTTTGGGATCAGAACCCTCCTTTTGGGATCAGAACCCTCCTTTTGGGATCAGAACCCTCCTTTTGGGATCAGAACCCTCCTTTTGGGATCAGAACCCTCCTTTTGGGATCAGAACCCTCCTTTTGGGATCAGAACCCTCCTTTTGGGATCAGAACCCTCCTTTTGGGATCAGAACCCTCCTTTTGGGATCAGAACCCTCCTTTTGGGGTCAGGACCCTTTTTTGGGGCGCTCAGGACCCGCCCCCGCCAGCCCCGCCCCTTTCCCCTCACGCTAAGGGGCGTGGTCTCAACCTGAGGGGCGTGGGCGTGTTCTTCATGCTAATAACCCTCACGCCCCACCCCTTGTGGGCGTGGCCGCATCAGACCACGCCTACAGAGCACTCCCTACACCCGCCCGCCCCTCCCCTCATGCCAGGAGGCGTGGCCTCACGTCGAAGGGCGTGGCCTTACGGTGTAGGCGTGTCCTGTGTACTAATGAGATGCATCCCCTCCCCTTTATGGGCGTGGTCTCTCCTGGCCACGCCCCCGCGCGGCGCTGCCGGTAAGGGAAGGGGGAGGGGAGGGGGCGGCCCCGGGGGGGTCCCCAAAGCCCGGGGGGGTCCCCGAGGGGGGGGAGGGGCGGCCCCAGCTCCGGCCCCGCCCCCAGGAGGCGCCGCCCCCGGCGGGGTGGGGGAGGGGCGGGGCCCGGGGGGGGGCTGCGGGAAAAGAGAA